GTGGACCAACGTCACGAATACTCATTTCGTCGATCTGTTTGGCCATTTGCGATCGATGGAATTCTTCATTCAGTTCGAAGATGCCAATGTCAGACATACCGCCACGAGCACAGGGGGATATACCAATTACGTAGCCGTTGGGCAGCACAGACATTTCCGTCTTCATACTGTACAATCCATACTTCTTTTTTTAAAATATCAATTTGGTTTCAAACGATCCAGCAGGGGCATGAGTTTGTTGAAAGGTCACGTCGACCGCATAGCGTGCACTGGGAAAGTGTCGGAATTGATTCCCGGTTGTTGACAATTTGAGCATGGTCCAGGTGTCAGCGACAGAGTACACATCATCTTGGAAAACGATGACGGGATAAACTTGAAGAGTGCCGCCATTATATCCCAACTTCCACCATGTTTAAGTGTCGCCAAGGTCATAAACAGCATGTCCTTTGGTGTTTGGGCGGATTTACGACCACTTCCGACATTCCACGATTTTGAAATGCTCGACTTGACTTCGTTCCACAACAAATTGAACTCAGCCACCGAGAAATTCGTCAGTTCAAGCACAACATCAGATGACCTTACCCGGACAAACTCATCAAGCAGTGGACATGGAGAATCATAATCGTCCTCGCCAAAATTGGGTGCCATGGATGAGTATTTTAAACGCTTGGCCTGACGCCGTTCGTGGAGGCCCAGGATGGCATCCACACGGGAGTTGATGTCACGTGAATTGTCACGAGCAGCGTGATTTGCTGGAACTTCGGTTGGACTCGAAGCTGGTGAGGTTGCAGTTTGTTGTCGAGTTGTTGGCATTGAGTTGCGACCTTGAAAGAACGTGCGAGTCAATTCATGGGGCATGGTTCAGTTTTTTTTGGAATTTTAAGACGCGGTTTCGTTTGCAGGAAACAGTAATTGGAAATGACGTCGTAAATTCCAAAATCGTTTCATCGATTGGTATACTCAAAATGAGCACTTTATGGACAGTCATGGACGCTGAACGCTGTGGTAGAGAAACCATCCAATAACTTGTCATTGATGGCGCAGATGGCCATTGATACACGCTTTTACTTGTTCACACCCATTGGTTTGGAAGTTATACCGTCACCTCTGAAAACCTCCATCAATGAGGATGAGTTCTAATAGAACTCATTCTGAAATCCAGACACTACTAAAAACAGCGAATTAGAATAGCGAATTTTCATTGGTTCATTTCCAATTCCTATCTCTGTTAACCAATTGCATATAGAGCAGAAGATGCATTTCAAAGGGAGGTCGCAAATAGGCAAAGCAGTTTTGTGCTTGCTGCCACCCACCGTGACCCCAGGTTACCCATAAATTCAACGGCGAATTCGCAACAATTGTCTCCAAAAAACAGTCTGGTGTACTCTAGCAACAGCGCACTTACACCCCTCGTGGGATAATGAAACCATGGTTAACAAGCAGCGGAGACGTTGCGTTGTATTTGTCTAGATTTTATGATTGTGTGGTCAAAACAATTGAACAATGGAGAGAAGTACAGAATGGTTGCATAACTCCAGTGTAGAAAAATGAAATAATGCACGCGTCAATGAGACTTCGCTTCAACCGTAGAAGTGTGTGTCTGGTCAACTGTAGAGCACACTGCGCTTCCAGTGGCTCCATGACAATCCAGTTGTGTCTGATTCGGTGAAGAAGCTCTCCAGGATCGAGCGAACCATTGCCATGTAGGACGAAGTGACCAACTACGTTTTCCCGTCGCTTGATTCCGATATTCACATCGAGCTTCCCATGGCATTCATTCGTTCCAAACGTACTAATAGTACTTGGACGCGATTGGATCGCAGGCAAAATCCAGAGATTTTGACCAATCACATCTTAGTACGGAATTAAACATTTAGCTTAACCCCACCACCACCTACCTAGGACAATTCCAGTTTACAACTTTCAAGGTATTTTTATAACTCCATTCGGGGAAAAGAATTCCGTTGTTCACTGTACTGATGTGAGCAAATTTCTTGCTCTCGGTCGCACGCTGGATGTGGCGGAATCGACCCCTCAGATGTTGGCCGCATGAAGTTGGATACATGTATTCCCACCACTTGCAATGGACGTCTTTGGTGTTGGGTGATTCGAATGATCTCGGAGACATGCGCAATTCATTTCCGGAATGAACCCGTTTAACGCAAGCGACGTGTTTGTGACACCGCCTTTGTCCGCGGCGACAACTGCCGAGCTCAAGGCAATCGCAAAGACCACGGCCACTGATATCGTAAGTCGTCCCTGCGCACCTCTACGATTGCTCGGTGACCACACCACTCTTGGGCATAGATAACACGGTCCCAACAAGCTGGAACGAGTTCGTCTTGGTCCATGGTGTTCTCGGATAAAGCCCTTCGTATTTTCAAGTTCGGTGGCACAAGTGCCCCCATCGGGACCGCTACCAAGTTCCTCCACTGTGGACAGCTCCAAGTGCGTGCGTCGCTACAAGACGTGGTGCATCTTCTGCGCACGGATGATGCCGCCCATGCCACCGCGTACAAGCAGCGATTTTGCAAAGACATTTTGGCAACGTCGACGCTTTACATGCTGAAACCTCCAACTCCCACCACGCCAACGTCGCGCATTTCGATTTCCTGGTATGCGTTTCGGAGCCCCGTGAAGGGCGTGGTCATGAATCGCGATGCCATATTGCTAGAGGTGCGACGGACCACAGGGTACGTCGTCTGACTTGTCCCGTCAGTGCCATCAGGAATTCACGATCCAAGGCCGTCGCGGCTGGGTGCGAGCCGTCCGATCCGTCCAGCTCCCTGGTTGTCCCAACTTGGAGATCACGAGCGGCCTCGTACGGATGCAAAACTACGGCAGTGGACAAGTGTTTTTGGAATCGCTCGCCGATCCTAACTTCTTGGACATGTCGTATGTGACCCAGGTCGACATGGGGGTCGGCAAATCCGAATGGGCCATCGATGCCTTACGAAGCCGCGATTTTCTCGTCGAAAAAGCCATCGTCCGACGATGTCAGAGCTTACGGGAAATCGAACGATATCTAAAAGGCGACCCCCTGCATGTCCGAGCCCCAGAAACGGCACGCCCGTTTAAAGCACTGCGTCGGCATTGCTGTCTCTGCGACAAACGATTCAGGGCGCTGAGCAAAAAGTTCTCGTGCGCAAAATGCCCTCTTGTAACGAGAGTCGCTGTCATTTGTCGCGGCCTACTGACCGAGTTGTAGGCAATGTGTCGAGAGTGCGACAGCGAATGGCGCTTGAAATCTAAGCTGTCCGAGTCCATGTGCGCGGCGTGCGCTGTCCGTTTGACAAGTGGAGGAAGTACCCCGAGCAATTACTCGCACGGTAGCAGCATTCCATCTTCCACAACGCCGTTGAGTCAAACGTCAAACGTGTGGTGTTGGAGCTCCGATTCGAGCAACAATTGCGAATCGAAAGCTCTGTCGGGGTCTTAATCATGGAGGAAAGAAGAAGTCACTGCCTCGAGCGAAGGATGCTATATCCCCAGACGACGCCATGCGCCAAATCAGCCAACCAGCATGATGAACGTGCAAGAGCATACTTGTGGGGACTTGGCATCGAGCAACCTTTGCCGCACCACAGGGGTTTATAAAACAATTATTCAGGAGCTTTCACGACGCATGCCAGTGCTAAGGATGTGAGTGCAACGAATGGCATGAACTGTGATTTTTGCAGTCCTTCAAATGTCCTTCACCGTTTTGATCGTTGGACGGGCTGGATTTTGCTCCGTGGCGATCATTTTCGCGTTACCCTGCTTGCGACATTTGGACTACCAGTGTCCTGCTTTGCTTACACTAGTGGCAGGTGCGCATGAATGAAATGCGCGTTCGCCTCATGTACCAGGACCATTTCGAGTTGCGCCGTTGGTCCCGTCCACGACTGCAGCTGTCTTGGTTCCCGCGACCTCCCGCCACAAACAGGGCGTGTCCTTCGTTTGTTTGGCCGAGCGGTGCATGGATGACGCCAATTCAGAAAGCGGCTTTCTTCTATGTCATGCAATGTGGCAAGCTAGGTGCCGTCCCGAGCTGGACCGTTCTTTTTCCAAGAGCCGTGTTCCCCCGTGAACAAAATTCCCACTCTCGATCAAAGTGACCTTGCATTAGGAATGGTTTGTTGTCGTTCGCCACTGACAAACCCCCCGTACCAGACAAGTGGAGTGGGGTCGGCGGGGGGTATTTGCACGCAAATCCAATCGGATCGTGTACAATGCTCGACTTAGTGTTGTGGCTCGGTGATGAATTCCTTCACCCGCCATTCGACGCTCGTAGAGTATACGTTGTCGGGTCTACCCTGTGAGCTCCAAGTCAGCTTACCACAAGAGGTTGCCAAGTCGTTGGACCTGGTACATCCGAGCCAAGTTGGATGAAGCGTGTTCATGCATCGGGATTGGCCACCCTGGTGCACAAATTCCGCTCATGGAGAGGTCCATTCAATTACCGCTAACAGTCTAACAAGCGCAGCGCCAGTGTTTGGAACGTTGATGAGATTCTTCCTGGATATTGTTGTTGTCGGGCTGCTT